ATAACATTAAATTCATAAAGGTCGTCAGGTGTCACAAAGGCCGTTTTCTCTTCGTTGTTTGGGTGCATGGGTATTTGCCAATACCCTGATCCCAAATCCAGCGACGAAAAGTGGGCAGCGGAATGCAGGCAGTCAATGAAGTCATCAATGCTAGGAAGCGGATACACAAATTTTTAGTGACCATATTTAATTTTCTATAATCAATGCAAAAGTGCCATGATCCATTCCCCTTTTTACTAAGATCACAGGCGCTGCCCACGGACTAGATGACTCTTGGACAACACCTTTCGCAAAGTATTGGTGACCTGTTCAGTGATCACTGCCCTCTCTCTCGACGAAACGCGGTAAGGTTTTTGACAAGCGGGGTGTGCAGATCCGGTGTAAATTCTGTGATGAGCACGAGAACGCGGCAGTGAATTCTCTGTGACACCTTTTGTGAAATCGAACACCGAAAGATGTGTCTTAAGGACACGTGCAAGAGCGCAGCGTTCATGTGAGGGTAGCGACTTGTTCATTCCTAAGATCTCTTTTTCCAAACTGCTTCTCTGGGGTTCGCTTGTTTCAGACTGCTGATCTTCGCTTAAAACGGTGTTAGTACCGTACGTGATTTCGTCGAACTCGGCAAGCTTCATGTCAAGTGGAAGAACAGCAGGCACCGAAGAACAATTGAAAGCCCATAAGCTTGAGGCGCCATTCACAACAGTCACGAGAGAACGAGGCACAAGTACATTTTTCTTCCCGCAACCCGTTGAAAGTGGTTTAATTTGCGCGTCAAAGGGTAAAAGGTCGGCAACAGCAAGATTAACAGGAACACGTGATAACGACCACGGCGCTAAAAGAGAATCATTCGACACGACGAAACAGTTTTTCCCAAGTAAAGTTGTCTCAGCAAGCCTAGACAAAAGCACGTTATTCACCGTAATTTTGCCTGTGCCACAATTAACGGAAGCACCACAATCCTGAAGAAAGTCGATCCTAAGAATTGCATCATGAGTGCACCGCGGTAATACCGAAAATTCCGTGACAAGATATTCAGCACCAAACGAAACACTTGCAACACAAATACCTAGAGGAACGAGGCACTCTCCTCTGACACCACGAAACGTCACACCACCATTCCACGGGAACATAACCTTCCGACCAAATCTTTACTTGAATGTGGCACTCATGACGGAAACCGTAGCACCAGTATCCACTAACGCAGTTGCAGGCACACTATCAATTAAGACACACACTTTGTTTTGGAACATCATAATCGGAAGAGGAGCAGTTTGCAGAGACGGAGACCGGCTGGCGACCTTACCTCCATCGGCCGCACCGGCTAGTTTCCCGATGGAGGCGGTGGTGTACAACGTCACCGCGGGGATGGTTGGTGGTGTCAGGCTGCGGTCTGATGCTCGCGAGTCACTCGTTCTGTTAAAATGGCGGAAGGAATTCCTGGAGGGCGAGCCTTTAGCGTTTGCTGCTTGATGTTCTGTCGGCCAATGATCATCGTTGACGCCTTCAAAGTTAGGCTAAGTCGGTGGTGGACCATACCTCGTCTGGCGGCGACGGCGACAATAACAAGAGATGTGTCTTGTCGCACCGCAGCTGTAGCAAACAGGTGAAGGGCGATCGACGTTGTAGATTTCGGATAAGTCGCCCTTGGACGCTGCGAGCAGTAGATATGATAGGAGTAGATAATCCAAGTGCCGATTCTTCCTCGTACCCCGATAAGCGCGTTGGTCGTGCGTCACGTCGTCAGGAAACGTACGGTGGTGCTGTTGTAGGGGATCGATTCCACAGTCTGCAACGCCTGACGTAGCTATTAGCGAAGAAACCACTCGTGCAGATTCGCAAGGTTGATTAAAAACGCTATCGAGGTGGTCGGCCGTCACGGCGTTCATTGATTTGCTGTGTCGGTCGAGTTCCTCGCAGACGATTTGCCTCACAGTGTTAGCAAGGTCCCAATGAATACTGCAGCTGTCCTCAATGCTTGCGACAGTCACAACAATCGCCAACCTGCCGACCTTTGTCGTGATATGGTGTAGCTTCGAGGTCTCAAACGTGCGGCAATGACGAATCACGTCAGCTACCGAATTGAGGCTCTCTTTGCCAATCAAGTAGGTATACACGTCTTCGGCAATACATTTAACAAGGTGCCCGACTTTGTCCTCTTTGGACATACAAGAATTTCGCGTCTTACACAGCTTCAGGATCGTCTTAATGTACGTGGTACAAGTCTCACCTGGCACTTGAGAACGCTGAAGTAATGTCTGCTCGGCTCGCTTACATTTTGCAGTGGAATCCCCGAAGCACTCTGTGAGTTGGATAGCGAATTGATCCCAGGCTATAAGCGTTTCTTCGTGGTTCTCGAAACACACAAGAGCAGTGTCTGTCAGGAAGAGAGCAACATAATCTAACTGAGCCGTTGCACTTGCTCACGCGTTTGTAGTGTGTCAGCCATTCTTCCACGTCCTCGCCGGGTTTCCATGAGAAAGGGTGTGGCTCCAACTGACGCATCCAGGCACCGGGTGTCAGCGCCGAAGGAGTTGAATATGACTGTAGGTCACCGTTGTTAGACATCGCGAGTTCCGGTAGTGTTGGAGGCAGTCGCGCGAGGCGTTGGCTTCGGCGAGGACCTAGCGGCAGTCGCTCCGTCGTCTTGGGTGAGTACCAAGCACCTCCACCACAAAACGGTTGCGGTTAAAGTCGAAGGGTGTTTATTAGCAGGGTGGAGTTGATGGTTCGGTAGTATTGGCGTCGGTCTCTGCGCCAGTTCACACCTTCCTCTTCTTCTCCTCTCTCGGCTCATACCCGTTGCAATATCATGATTATCAAGTTTGCACCAGTCAAATACCTAAATCATCCATTGACGTCACGTAATGCCAAATTTAGCCTATGTGAAGCTAGTGAAACAGGCGCGAGCGCATCATGAGTGTGACGTGTAGTGATGTTGTTACATGACACACATATCATGATTATCAAGTCAGGGTCTCTTGCTTGTGTTCGCCATGCAATCATTCCAAGCTATACCAGTTTTGCATCATGCCACGCGAACAAAATCACCACAAGAGCTGCGGGACATGACATGTAAATTATGACATTCATGAAATACATGTCATGATTTTCATGTTATGACTAGTCAGATTGACGCACATGTTTTCCTTGACGCACATGTTTTCCTGAAGATGTAAAAATGTTTTGTAGTTTTTCTTTCTCTTACTTTCAGTGCCTTGTTGTTTCCCTTTGATTCTCTTTGCGATTCACACATTCCCACCTAAATCATCGCTGTTACGATAAGTTTGGTTGCATTGTTGTTGTATGTGTGTGATGATTGAATTATTGTATGCTGTGTGATGTTTGGCTTGATTGCCTTACTGCCTGTACCATTCCTGCTTGGGCTCCATGCCTGCAGTATCTTGTAAATAAAATAAATAAAATAAATATGTTCTTCATATAGTCATATTATGCGATACCACGTTTGGTATCGATACCATTATCGAAACGGCCAGGAGAGCTAAAAGTTGTAGGTGGCTAGATAGATAGACCGATTAGATAGATAGATAGATAGATAGATAGATAGATAGATAGATAGATAGATAGATAGATAGATAGATAGATAGATAGATAGATAGATAGATAGATAGATACGCTCAATGTCGCCGAAGTTCGCTAAGAAATGCTTGGCATTTATAAAACGAAGGAAGCATCTGCTGAACAGTTTAATACACGGTGCTGGCTCATATAGTGTCATTACTCACCTGCATACAAACTGCACTTGAGTGAGGACAACTCCAGCTGGCGCTGTACCACTACTCTCCGATTGGCTGCTGTGCTGGTTGTGCCTAGGTGCGCGAGGAAGGAGTGCCTCTCTTAGTCTCCTGGATCATCGCCCTACGTGGCGGGTCGTTGGTAGGGCATGGACGAAGCACAGGGGCAGGCGCGGAGTGCGACGGCGGCTTGTGGTCGTCGCCTCGTTTGTGGGGCATGGACGAAGCAGAGTGGAGGGCCTCGGTGGCTGGCTCGTGCTCGTCGCCAGACAGACAAAATAACAGACACGCAGTCAGACAGACAGACGGACGGACACTTGGATGGACGCATGAACGAATGCACAGATGGATGGACGGACTGATGTACGCAGGCACGAACGGACGTGCGGACAGACAAAAAGACGGTGAGACAGACAGACACACGGACAGATAGGCCAACGTATGGACGGACACGTGGAAGGACGGACAAAAGCGCGGACGCATGGACAAACGGACGATTCGCCGTACTTATTATAATTCACTCCGTGGATATGCTGTGATTTTTTTCGGGGGTGTCATCATAATCAGGCGCGCTCACAATGTCCCCGTTAACAGAGAGCCAGTTTTATTTCTCTAACAGGGATTCATAGGAGTCGCTTTATGTTTCGTAGCTTCATTAAAACATGTTGCTCCGCGAGCTTGCGGCTTTCTTGTTCTTCTCATACAAGTCAGATTGCTGCTGAATGAAAAGATGGTTTTTGTCTTGTTGTTTCTACACAGTGTCTCCATAGAAAGCTGTTGTGTTAAACATGTACAAAGCAAACGCGGCAATACAAGATTTTCTTGTGCCTGTAGATTCCGATATATTTTGAAAATTTTATCGGCTGAATTTCTTCGTCACACATGCAAGCTTGTAGTGACGTATAATTGAAACATCACAAAAAGCGAGACGGGTAAGGGAGTGTCTCCTAGACATTCAACTTGCTACGTAGCTAACATGCTACGAAGGATTCTGCTATAGGGAGAACTCCATCTTGATATTATCATTTGGCTGAGCATAAAAATAACTAGCAGTGCACTGTTTTGAAGTTGCGGTACCTAGCACTACTGTGCAGCGTTGAGTAATTAGACAGGAGTGGCACTTTAACTTATTTAGCTTACCAGACCACCTTGCCTCATATCTTATTTTTGGCCTGTTCATTGGAGTCAGCTTGAAGTGTATTTATTTATATTTAGAACCCCTAGTAGTTTTATTTCTTTGATACTTACCCTGTCAGTACAAGCTGCGACTTTTTTGCCTTGCAACACACGCTAATACAGGGTATTGATAAGTCCAAGCAAACAGCCTCAGGTATGCCATATCCACGGTATCGACATGTTCCTGTGAGACAAAAAATAAGATATCAAATGATGATATCACAACTGAGAGATTTCGGTGCCAGGGAACTTACAGAAACGCGGCCCTAGAAACCTTTCTAGCCACATTTGTGTTTGCAATGGCCCTTACCAATGGTAGTTGCTCTCTCAGTGATGAATGTTTTGGTGGCTAACCGTTCAGGTATGACTTGGTCTGTGTTTTCGTGTGTCTTTGAAAAAAAAATATTTCTTTTTTACCGTGTTTTAAATATTTTTTGAGGTTTTATTGCCGTTAAGTATCTCTTAGAACATATTTGGGTCCCTAAAAGCGCAAAAACATGATTGATTGATTGATATGTGGGATTTAACGTCTCAAAACTACCATATGATTATGAGAGACGCTGTAGTGGAGGGCTCCGAAAATTTTGACCACCAGTGGTTCCTTAACGTGCACCCAAATATGAGCACACGGGCATTCAACACTTCCGCTTCCATCGGAACTGCAGCCGCCGCAGCCGGGATTCGATCCCGCGACCTGCGGGTCAGCAGCCGAGTACCTTAGCCACTAGACCACCGCGGCGGGGCATGCGAAAAACATGCGCCATAAAATTAATGAATATACTTGAAGCTTGATTGTGTGCAGCACTTCAAGTGGCGGCTCGGCTCGTCAACCCTCCGTATACCTGTCTTAAGGCGTGATCACGCTAGCAGCAAAGCACTCAATACAGGCTTTCACAAAGTTAGCAATATTCCACAAACTGGTAAAATTAGGGAACGGGGTCAAAGATACCTTATGCCAAAAGTAATAAAATCTTAACAATCACTAGCTAGTATTGCCGAAAAAGTCTCATAAAACTACGGCGGAATCCTGGGCTGGCGAGAGGAGACACCACCGCCTCTTCGAACCAGCGAGTGCCCATCCCCTCATGCTTCGTCGGCGTGGCGTTCCTGCTAGATTTGATGGGGTAAATAACTAGACAGAACTCACCGAAGATGACGCAAATCTCAACCTCCATTCCAAGCAGCAGGTCTACAAAATGGAGCAAAAATCCTGAATCCTTTTTCCACAGTCGGGCTGTGCGCCACCAGCTGTGCATTTTGGGTCACTGAAATCCCTTTCCTCGTGCTCTTATCTTTGAAGAGAAGGGGAAGTTTTCAACAAATGTCTTACACTTTTGTACGATCGACATCAAATCGAAGCCATAAGAGCGGCAAGTATTTTCAATAGTATTGCGCGTGCACTCCTGTCGTCCCCACCAGTACCTCTTGCATTCTTCCAGTGCCAGACAAATGCGCCCAATGCAGCGGTTCACCACACTCTCATCCAGCCTTTTCCTACTCACTTGGATTGCCTAGCCTTGACGTTTGCTCTGCATTTGAGGGAGAAAATACTTGTTTGGGGAGCCTTACGACGATTATCTCAAAGTAATATTTTGTTCTTGCGTACGAATTGGAGAGGTGGCGTTTTGAATCCCTCGAGTTCACTATGTTGGTGGTCATGCTAACTCTGTAAGCTCTAGTTCACACTGAAGCAACCGCTGTCTACAGCGACTGAAATTCTCCTGCCACCGAAATGCAGCGTCTTTCGCCCTGGACGCGCCTCACACCGCCAAATATGTTATCTACCACGAGGCGAACGCGTAATGGCGGCGCTGTCACCCGGTTGTTATCGCGGTTCGCAAACGGCACTAGGCTATCTGGTGGCCTAGTCTTTAATGATTGTCGTAGGCGTAAAGCAAGAAGCAGTACTGCTTATTTTGCCAGCAAGTTGCTCTCTTGTGATGAATTGAAAGCAGAAAAAACCACTGGCACCAGCGGTGTTTATGGGTTCGTCTTGCTTTCTGAGACCGCGAAAAGCACGGTCACGCTAACGACAAGCTCGGTCACCTCTTTTACGAAATGACGACGTGAAGTAGGCACAGAGTGGGTTAGGGTACCGTTGGTTACAGCATTCAGTTACGTGCACTGCGAGATGACAAGTGAGCGGGGCATGGCCGCCATTTTTCAGAATTCCTTGACTAGTGCTGTTATTAGTCCACGGTGACCGATTCGCTGGCAGACGCCACAAAAATCACTCCGAGAGCGACTGGCATGGAGAGGGCCCTTTCGATGGATCTGGCCGCCACCTTATCGGATTAGACGAACTTTCGGCAGCAGGAATGTTGCATTTACTGCCTTAAGGCGTCCCGCTTGGAGGTCACGGTGACATTGCTTTGAGCCACAATGAAGACACACAAAATAAAAAAAAAGTTACATGATTTCGGACAGGGCCAGTGCGTCTGTTGCTTCTCCGTGAAAAGCGCTCAAACACACGTGTGACGCAACTAGCCTTATCTTTTACCGGGTGTCACATCACAATGATTTTGTGAGCTAAGGTTGACCAATGGTTCTCATGGAGTAGCATGCGTTGGAACTGGCAATGAGAGAATTGAAGGAGGTGTTGTCACCACGTACACGCACGCGCATTCGGTTTGGTAGAACTCCGCATATGCGCACCTAAGGTGGTAACCGGGCGGTCAATTCTTGTGGCTGTTCGGGTTTGGATTTACTCCAATAGCGCGTAAATTAACATAATATTTAGTAACATAAAATTTAGAAACATAAGCGTACGTGGTATGCTTACGTTACTAAATTTGCGTGAATGCTATAGAAAGCTCGATGACCAATTCGCTCGATGCAGTGGCCGCGTTAGCTAAAGCAATGAGCTGCAAATGTCTTTCAATATAGCAGAAACATTTGCTGCTACTGTCTTTACTGCCACTCCCGAGCACCGACTGTTGTTTGTTTAAAAACCTTTGACCATTTCACTAGAACTTTATTTGAGCAGCGTCTGATTGTATTTTGCTTTTGATGGTGATGAACTATGATATGCCCATTCACTCTTTATTCTGCAGAACGCTGCTGGGACGCGATTCCTCTGCCGCCCCGCCGCAGTGGTCAAGTTGCTGAGGTGCTCGGCTGCTGACCCACGGGTCACGTAATCAAATCCCGGCTGCGGCGGCTGCATTTCTGATGGAGGCGGAAATGTCGTAGGCCCGTGGGCTCAGATTTGGGTGCAGGTTAAAGAACTCCAGGTGGTCGAAATTTCCGGAGCCCTTCACTACGGCATCTCTCATAATCATATGGTGGTTTTGGGAACCTAATCCCCCCATATCAATCAATCAGAGCCTTTGCCTTGTAAGACCCCCTCATTAATTGTGCTAGGGCTCTCAGGCTGTGAGAGTACACCCAATACTCAGCTGTCCTTAATGAGCGAGTAACAAAGTGTGCAATATATAGGTTCACTCATCAATATTTTCAAACTGTCAGCACAGATATACTTACCGTTCACAATCACCATTTTCCCAATAAAATATGGATTGCGGCTCCCGCGCGTCAACAGCCCGGTAAGCGTTGCCACAAGCAATGCGGTGAGAAATTTCATTGTGACAGCCTCTAAACTGCGAGGTAATAGAGCAAAATACCACCACTTAAATTTTATATCTAATAAAGTGCTCTGATAAGTCTCTTCACTAAATATCAAAATTTGTCACTGCGGGAGAGCCATTTTCAATACCTATGCTTGGCTCTTACTTCAATTCGAGTTCTTGTATTTACGAAAATGATTCTTAATAGTAGCGAGTAGCCCAACAGCTGATACCAACTTCACAGGTTTTTTAAAATTTTCATTGCCACCTTCCCTACACCTTGTCATCTTTGTTTCCTTTTAGAGAAATCTCAGATAAGGGCAGATAAATATTTAGGCTTGTGAAAATGAGCATGTTTTTAGAAAAATAAAACGACTGGTCTTGAGCTTACCTGATGCCATGCCTAGCTGAATCGAGAAGACAAATGTTTTCATCGACGGTTGTTTTATTTAGAGATCAATATTATCATATCTCTTTCCGCGTTTAAAGCACGACTAGGAAAAGATACCTTGAAACTGCATTGTGATACGAAACAATCTACTCTAGACGGTATTATCGGAGGTACAGATATAAGACACTGTCAAAATAATGTGTTTGATACGATACTTTCTACTTGTTCCTTCAAATACTTCAAGTCTTTCACAAACTTGTTATAGAAATTACCGTTTTCTAGATGCAATTCCAAATGCACAAATGATATTGCTTCAAAACTTTTTAGTTGTGACCAACGTCACTATTTGTATGAAATGTCTCTCAGCTGTAAATACAGTTCAGTAATGGCCGCTTTCGTTATTCACCGATGTGCCACGATGTGCCAATCATGCCACCCATTGTGCAAAGCATAGATGCCTCCCCAATCTGTCAGGCGTGACCTTCCAACAGGCTCGTTAAAAGTGGCCATATTGAAAAATCGGGATCTTTGCGACGCAGCACACAGGCTAACGACGTTTAAATGTTTCGTCTTATTATAGGTTAAGCAAGAAAATCCGCTATATAACATCACGAATGTCAGCTTTACTGCATCTATACATGCTTGGTTTCTTTAATGAATTTTCAGTTCGTATTCGACGCCCATCCTCGCGTAACCTTTTTTCCTTGTGTGATGTGATTACGCTATCTTTTGCCTATTTTTTCAGCTTTTGAGTGTTTCATCAATTTTGCGATTATTGCTTAAAGTTTATACCACACAAGAAATAATATTTCGGCGAGTTGAATGCTGTTAAACGTCTTGAGTAAATTCAGCACGATACAACAAGTGAGGACGGAGGTGATGAAAAGAGACTCCGTAGTTCGTGCCCTTTTTTTTTATCTCAGTCCTCTCTGAATCGCACTAAATTCAGTCAACATGCTGCTGAGAGTAAACCAGCGTCTTTTCAAATTAACATATTTAGGTTGAATGAGCTCCTCACAATAAATGTTCTTGGTACACTGCGCTGCCAGGTTTTCTCGCTTATATTTCAATAATAGTTGTATAGACACTCTCGGCTGCATTTCATCGCCAGTGTCGGAGCGGATGTCATGCACAGCAAAAGTATTCGTATCTACATATACGAAAATTCAAGGAAGAAAAAAAATCTAGGAGAAAGACTCCCGCGTGCGGACTTGAGTGACTTCGGCGCCATGAATGTGAGGCGTTAACCACTGAGCCAGTGAGGAGTACCTCATTTAACATTCCGATTTCAAGCTATTTATATCTACCACTTACTGATGTTGGCAGGCATATCGGAGGGGGGGATCTATCGTGTTTTCGGCATTATCAGCAAGATTGCGCAGTGAGTGCATGGCGGCTCTCATTTCTAACACGAACTTTGGCCTGCGGAGAAGAGTGTAGTGGACGACCTCTCGCGCTCCCGTATCTCCTGGTGGGGAGGATCATACGTCCTGGCTGGTGTTGGGCTTGCACTGGAACTGGTGTATTTAGGGGGCGCAGTAGCTACGGGGTGCTCAAAGGTCACTGCAATCGTGGCACAGCCTTCGTTTGCGAAAAGGGCGTGCTTTTCAGAGACAGCGAAGTTACAACTTATACACTTATTCCGTTCATGTTTACCTGTGAGTACGTTTCGTGCGTCATTTGTGCGTGAGAAAAGCGGGGCACGTTTCTATCGGCTTACCATTCTGTGCGTGACCTTCCAATTAGTTTCTATCACTTTCAATGCTTCGCCTTTGCGGCTAAATTGTGACTTTTTTGTTTTAGTATTTGAGGGAAAGCGCTGCTGTGCTTAACGAAGAGCTAGCTGATTACCGTACAGTTATAAAAACTTCAATAAGTAATTCCTAAATGATGGCGCGAAGCCAGATTTAATGCTGTTTCTTGTTAATAAAAGTATCACTGTATGCGCTTTATAGAACGGCCACAGATGTGTAGATCAGCGCGAAAAGTGGCACCAAAATATTTCTTTTACGCATCCTACTCACACAGAGACGTTGGAGGCAACAGAACTGTATTGACAACTGATATTCTATTTACATGCCTAGCGATAGCTCCATGACAACATACAATCTAACGCGTATTGTTGTAACACTTCCGTACAAGACAAGCTGCAAGGCCTAGTAAAGCTTTTGTACGCAGGTTTGAACAGAACATCGATGGACATATTGCTATTGCACTATAGTGAACTTATAAATCTGATTATGGAGTGTCTCCAAACGCAGTAAACATATTTGTGGAGACATAGCAATTTTTATTTATGCATTCCTGTATTCTAATCAATAAAATATGGAAGTCTAAAAAAAGGTAGCAGCAGTATATCGAAGTAAAGAAAAATTGTGGTATTGCAACAAAAAGTTACATTGAATCACTGCACAAACACCGCGAAGGTGGCAACCCTATAGTGGTGAATATGACAATTAATATACCATGTACCAGCTGGTACTACACGCAATAAAAAAATTGGAATCTGCAAAATAATAAAAATGCCTGCGTGTGACGCTCATAATAACAACGTAGTAATTGGTCCAACAGAGTTTCTCGATTCTAATTCATAACATTTCCGAGATGCTCATAATTCCTCTCATTATTCATAATAAATTCCATTTCGCTATTTTACAAGTGTGACAACCCTTTATTCAGACACCCCGAGAATAATATATATTTGTTCTCAACATCATCCTATAATGACAGTGTGATATAGATATCTGACAGCAGTGTAAAGGATGCAGATGATTAAAGTCAAAAACGAAGTGAAGTCCTTGTTCTGGCAATACATTTGGAAAGACTTATTCTAATAAACAGGCACGTAAAAGAGGTCAAAGACTTAGAGAGCATTAGAAAGGGTTTGAAGGAAAAATTTGAATGGTAAATATATAAGGTCTGGAAATAGAGGATATCAGTAGAAAAAACACATAGTACTACGATATCTACTCTTAGATAAATGCTCCTTATAGTAATTCTTGCATCGGTGCCACCGACCAAGGACGACCATTTGATCACACTTTTTCAGGCTACTCGGACTTATTATTGGTTTTAAACGTTCAAAGAACACAAGTTACAACCGCTTAGCTAACGGAATGATCCAGCGTTTCCCCCGTCAGTTCAAGGCAACCAATCTGTGCCACACGCACTCAAACTGGTTCGAGGCCATCCCAGCTCTCATCCTCGGTCTTCGCGCCACATTCAGGCCGAATACCCACGCTACACCAGCCGGGGAACCACTACGGGGAACCACTTCGTCTTCCAGGTAAATTTCTCGGAGCTCTTTCATCTAACACTACAACGTAAGACCCCACCGACTTTCTCGCTCGGCTCCAACTTACCATCACCACCTTATTCCTGTCACCTGCAGCCCACGACAGCAGGCCTATGCCTTTTGTGTTTAAGGAATTAGCATAGTGCACGCATGCTTTGCTCTGTGACGACACCATCCGCCGGCCTTTCCAGACACACTACAGTGGACTCAACCTATTTGTTCATCCTCACAAGAATTCGCATTGCGTATGAACGGGAATGAAGTCCGCGTCTCAATTGACCGACTCAAGCGCTGATGTGGCAACACAATGCGCGCAAACCGGCGCAGCCAGCGTGACTCAGCCCGCATGCTGCAACGCGCGCCCGATAAAGGCCGCCGCCACCGCAGTTTCACCAGAGGTTACAGGTGGCTTTAACACACAAGCTGCAAGGCTCGCTTCACTGATTGTTTCTCTAAACGTTCGAGCGCAGCACCGATATGCTTGATCTGCTGCTGCTACCGTGGTGATAAACAATCGTTACATTTTATGCTGGAATCCATCCGTCATCAACTCCACGTCTCACAGCAAGAAAAACTTTTGAACTTTGGGCAACATTGGTACGATCACTTCTCTAGCGGTAGCTATCAGTTGTCGGCGGTCAGTATCTATTTAATGCGAAGCATTTCTTAGCTCACTTTGGAGACTTTAGGCGTATCTATCTATCTATCTATCTATCTATCTATCTATCTATCTATCTATCTATCTATCTATCTATCTATCTATCTATCTACCTATCTACGTATCTATCTATCTATCTATCTATCTATCTATCAATCTATCTATCTATCTATCTATCTATCTATCTATCTATCTATCTATCTATCTATCCGCTAGGACATTTAGTTCTCCTGGCTGTCTCAATAATGGCATAGATACGAAGAAAATTGGTATGGCAAAATTAGTACGACGAGCATAATCCTCAATTATTACATAAAAACCATAACATGTAACTCAATAATGTCATGAATTGTTTTTCATGGTCTTGTTGCTCTTGTGGTGGTTTTGTTCACACGACATTTTGCAAAACTGGTATGGTTTGATATGACTGCTTATAGCAATTATAAGTGACAAAAAATAATGTGGAATTCATGACATGCATGTCATTATTTTCATGTTATGACCAGTCATGTCAAGTGACCACGCTCATGCTGCGGTCGCGGTCGTTTTGTTTGCGTCAGATATACCAAATATGCAATTAGAGGACGTCAATGGAAGACAAAAGTACTTGACTGGTGCATACATGATAATCATAACATGCGTGTCCTGAAAGAACATGACTACGTGCCAAGCTCATGATATGCATGCGA